ACTTTTGTCTGTAGAAACCTGTGGGTGCTTTCTGCTATTTACAGTACGCATGCTTCTAGATGTTAAATAGGTAGAAACCATGCCCTTCCTTTGCTTTGTGCAGCAACAACTGTTTATCATTTTATCGCAGACTTAAAGGTCATACGTCAGACAACTCTATAGGCACAGGACGCCTGCAGTCATTGCGGGATTGGCAGCTTCCGTCAGGGGGATACTTAATTATTTTAGTGAAGAAAAATCATTCCTGCAGGCGTGGCAACTTATTTAGAACTCACTGCAGCTTTTTTTACTTTGATGCCGGCATAGGCGGTACCGACGCAGTTTACAAATATATTTGATTCGCGGACTCATGGCTACCTGCTCTGCCCGTTTATTGCGAACATCTGTGTCATTCAAGGGTGCTTTGGCGCTCTCGAGAGAACGAATAAACAAACTGAAATTTGCTGATAGAAGCGAACAGGCAAGTTCCGGGTAGCAGTTCAGAAGGCAAAGATGCGACCCCTGGAACAAAAAATTATTAGCCTGACCTTTCGGATTCTCACTCGAACCCACCATCATCAGAGATAGTCGCAGAGAAAAGAAATGGTAGCACAACGAGTGCAGTATTCATAGCACGTGGCTGCCGTGAGGCCACGTGCGCACTGGGGTCGTAATTGATGCGATGATGGCTTTTCAGTCCGCGTCCAAGTAGTTAACTGCCGTGATTTCGTCATCCGTGCTGGATGCTGGCGTGACGATTGCTCGGCAAATTGTCTGACTGTCACTGGGATAATTGCTCGTCCGCGCCCTCCTCACGTGACTGATTCCACTGCGCAGGTAAAATCTCAGCACGGAGTATGGTAAGGGGAAGTCATTGCGCTTGTTGATGGATTGCAGGCCTGAGAACCATGGCTCGAGCAGCTCCCGGCTCACGCGGTTGTCACCCCATGCGAGGATTTCGGCCCCTTGAAATTTGAAAATATGGCCGGGTCCCGTCAAATGAGCCGCCACATGAGAGCTAGCGTCTCCCCGCCTCACTGCTGCCGCGTGCTCGGCAATTCGCGTACAGAGTAATCTCCCAGTTTCTCCGACATAATTGCTTTGTCCGCAACTGCACCAGATCCGGTAAACGATTCCAGACGTTTCCTGCAGTGGCAGTGGTTCCTTCGGCCTCATGACTCGGCGCCCAATGATTGCTTCTGGCCTGTGTGCAACCCCAACTCCAAGTGGAGTGAGAAGACGACTGTCGGCTTCCGAGACGTTCTTTGGGGTCGGTTGGATTTGGTCTCCGGTGTCGTTTTCGTTTACACTGGTTGACAAAATTTGCGCGGGTAGCCACTAGCTCTCAGTACCCGTCGAAGATATTTTAATTCTGTAACTTTGTCTTCCATTTCACCGCAGTGCGTCTCAACGTGCCGAAATAGTGCCCTTACACAACTACGTTTGTGACTGATCGGGTGGTTGCTATTGAAGTTCAGTACTTGCGTCCTATTTTTCGCCTTCGTGAGCACTTTAGTTTTTAGACCACCACAATATTTGCTGCAGACGAGGACATCCAGAAAGACCAGCTGTTTGTGTTCTTCCTCCTCCATCATAAACTGAATGTCCGGGAAAACGGCGTTCAGATGTTCTTTGAATTCTAGCACCTGATCCCGTTCAATGACGATGAAGGTGTCGTCCACATACCGAGCCCAGAATTTCGGTCTGTGGTGTTGGAAGACCAGTGACTCCAACCATTGTAGGACAACCTCGGCTATGAGTCCCAAAATCGGCGAACCCATTGGCGTGCCCTTTCACCTGCTCGTAGATAGTTCCGTCGAACGTAAAGTAAGTCTTGAAACAGAACTTTAGGAGCTGAATGATTTGGGCGTGTTCGAGGCGATTCTCCGTTTCGTCATAGGAGTAGTTCGATGGTTTCCACTGCCAGGTCCTACGGGATAGAAGTAAAAATGGACGTGACATCAAAGAAAACCATGACATCGCTTGACAAGAGACTTACTCTTTTAAGTTTCTCCAAGAATTGTGTTGACGAGCTGACTGTGGTGTTCGAATCGGAGGTCAGAAAATTAAGACGTCAAAACAGTCCCTTTGGCAGTCCGTGGGTTGGAGTGCCCTTTAGTGAAACGATAGGTTGGAGAGGAGCGCTCTCTTTGTGTACTTTGGGAGACCGTAGAATCGGGCTAGGGCCGTTTCTTCTGCTCTCGCCATGCGTCGGTCGGTTGGCGATATTGCACCTGGGTTCTCCATTGCCAACAGCGTCGCGTTAATCTCGCGTGTCAGCGTTTTTATGGGTTGGATTTGCATGGGGCATAGGACTGACGATACTCCAACAAAGTTTTGGCTTTCTGAATGTAGTCTGTCCTGTCCAATAAAACCGCTAAACGCCTTTTGGTCGGACAACTGTATTAGCAACCAGTGGAATTACTGGCAGGCAGAACAACCGAACGGCAAGGCAATGGACGTTTTGGCATTGAAAACTGGTGCAACGGAAACAGTTTGTAGTTCTTTCATACTCAGTACTGAAATAGTGAATTTATCACTATGCCTCCGGCTTTTTTTCCCTTTTGTCCCATAACCCCAGCTAAAAATGCGCCAACCGGGATTGAATTCGTAGTATTTGAAGGGATAGATGAGAAACCGATGTACATCCTAACTGCCGGTAGTGACCAATCCGAAAGCTACTTCGTAAGTACGCTGGCCGTCAAAGCGATGAATGGTGAACGTAAAACGGGAAAGCCAAACCTACTGGTCGCCGCAAGGCGGAGACCGCACAGAAATCCTGAGGCCCGGGTTGATACATAAGCCCGTGAATGTGCAAGGCAAGGCCAAACCCCTATTATTGGATAGCCGTCACAAGCCAGCTGTGGTGGGGTGTAGGGTGGGGAAAGGAGCCGTACGGCAGGCAAAGTAAGCAAACAGCTAGCGGCCTTAGAAGACCGCACATGAAGCCAGCGACCGGGTTTAACGTCTATCCGGGTAAGCCACGAAGGGCTAGTGCAGCCCCTGAAGTAAGTAGAAAGGGAAGGTGCACTGACGGGGCAGACCTGCACCGATTAAGCGCACCCATCGCCTACGTGCCAAGCCAACTCACGCGGTAGCCGCATGGAACGCGATATGGGAGGTCCCCCCTCCCTGCGATCAAATACAACCGGGTTGCTTCGTAAAGGCGGGGGGATGGAGGGTAGTAGTCTGTTAACACGACTGAAGCAGTGGATGAAGTATCGGTAGACACCTTAACGGAGCTGCAGTTGTCCTTTCGTGCACGTTCGCACCGGAATCTGCAGTAAGTCTGGAGTAAAAAGACCCGGGGATGCTCGAAAACCGTGGAAACGGAGACCCGCGCCAATCCGCCTAGGATGGTTTCTATGCAATTAATCCGATGCAGGCAATACTGTACGCACATGCAATTAGAAGCATAAAGGGAAGCGTGTTAAATCGCAATCTGCAAAGCATAAATCTTTCGCCTTTTACTAAAGATTTCCGTGTGGGGGGTGCAATGCAATGAGTCCATATAGACAGTCTTGCAGTGCCTCGTTCTCGGGACGGTTGAAGTGAAGAAGAAAGTCATCCTGACATAGCCTCTGCGCCAATTCAAGCAAGCATAGCTGGAGTACCCACTCGTATTAATGTTGCAAGCGCGCTAAGTGGCCGATGAGCGGAAATGTGAATGTGAGCAATAACATGAAGGAGTTTACAGCATAACCGCCCTTCCTACGTCCAATTGTCAGCTGTAAGTATATGCTGGAGGTATGGCAATGGCAACACAGCAGCAGACAAGGTATCCCAAAGCGAGGTCGAATACATTCCACCCCCGCGCGGCCGACACGGTTAAAATATGTAACCTAATAAAAACACGCCTACTGATAGGAAGCAAGTACGTCAACAACGTTGACTCACAATTCCAGGCTACTTACATTTGTCTTGCCCGCCTTTTGTCCGCAGGTACGATAACGAGGTCGTTAGCGGCCCTGCGTCCCTTAAGTGCATCGCGCTCGACCTTGGGAAGTCCGTCGCGCGGCCTATGAGCCGTGGGGTAGTTGATGATGTATTCGGGTGAGAATTCGAAACGTCAAGCTAATAAATTTCTTGTTCCAGTGATCGCATCATAAGGTTCGAAACGTCCGCAGCATTGAACTGCAAGCTGTGACGCATGGCTGGTCCAGGTGGTTTTCAGGCACAAAAAATGCCTTTGTGCAAATAAAGTAAAATAGTTGACAGCCAAATGAGGGCCACTCGTCTGATTCTCATTCTTAAATTCTGCCCCTCGGCCCTATTCAAAGCGTAAAAGAAATCCATGCTTAAAATATGATCGGTAATTTTGTTCAAACATTCCCAATTATACGCGTCTTAAATGAAATGTAGATGACTCCCCACTGGCATTTCCATTACTGACCAATGGAAGATCCGTACACACCACCCTGAGGTCGACTGTCCCTAGATTAATTCAGAATGTTCTAGTCATATTTCCAACTGAATAGAAGCCACACATTAATTAATAAATTGTATGTAAATTGGGGATGGAGAATTAAACGCTTTTTCCTGGCAAAGCGTATCTTCAATGCGCAAATTCAATAAAGGGATAATTTTGATCGATAGTAACCAGTCTTTTTAAAGGAGATATTTTTAACTTCGCGGCCACCAAAACAGTCGCCCACGCCAGAGACAAAACACGCCGAGAATTGATTGAAACCTGGAAACTCGGTCAATCGATTTATCGATCTGACGCCGGCGTATCGAGCCCTGCGTAGTCACCTCCAGTCTTGCGCCGTCGGTCGATGATTGGTCTACATGCCCTATAACTGTCGCTTGTTCTGTTGCTGCCACTACCTCTGACGATGGACTCCTGCACGAGTCTGAAAGCTCAGGATGATAAACAAAGTGTTCCGGTGCTCAACGCTTCTTCTTCACAGATATTTCAGTCTGCTTAATCACCGACTGGTCGAGCCCTGGAACCAGTTGCTCCCTTTTCGAGGTTTTTAAAGTCCCACTTGGTTTCATTGTCAGCGAGGACGATTGCAAGAATGCAGGTGGTAGCTGCCGAGTACATTAACCAATCAGCGTCCAGTTCCGAAGGTCAGGAGGTGACTGCGCGCATGCGCAAAAACACTACATCAGTTTTTGTTCAGCTCTCTTCGGAGCCCGCGTGCAATAAACTTTCGGCTGAGAAAGGGCACTCGCCCCCATTCCAAAGGTATGAACCACAGCCCGCGATAACTCTTCATCTCCTCTCACTGCCAGCTTATGTTGCTGTATATTCACTCCGGCCAGATGATATTTTTAGCCTGCTTTCAGGGCAATCAAATGCCCTGCCGCGAAAGTAAACACGTAATTTGCACTTTGACCCGAAAAAACTCGGTTCAGTTCATGCGGTCTAAGGATTGATTATTTCTTGGGCAGCAACCCGGTTTAGTACGTCGTATATCGCGCCTAAACTGCCCTCACAATTACATAAGCCAGGCCGAGTAAGATCACGGATCACACATAAACGAACGCAAGGCTAGCTGTATGACAAGATGCCACTTTTCCCGACTGGCCGCACCAATATAATTTTGCAACCACTGTCCAAGCAGGAGGCTGACTGAACCCCGAGACGTGATGTGAACTCAGTCAACTGGCATATTGCTTTTGAGAGCGCACGCAGTCACCTCCGGACCTCCGGCACTGATCGTTCATTGGCTGAATTGATCTGGGATGGTTACCTGTCTTATTGCTACTGTTATCTCTCGAGTGCCCAAGAAACCAAACGGTATACGCATGACGACCAAACAACTCGGCAGAAAGATAAAATACTAATGGTAGAGGGGTGCTGATCGATCGTTCTTGCGGAACTCACTCGTTCCGTTGTGCCTTACGGGCTCTCTCTCGAGCCTAACCAGCAGCCGCAAAGTGGCGCATGATATGGGCAGAATGACATTACCGACAAAGACAAGGGGTACTGGAATGGCCATTTCTGGCTTTTTAGCCGTCGTCAGCCAGTCAAACCCAACCCTGAGGTGTGGAACACCCGAGGCTCGAACTCGCTACCTATTAGTTAGAAATACACGCCTCTAACCGCCGGGCCACGAGACCGTTGTCCTTTCGGTTCCGGTCGGGAATATACAATGGTAAGGGGGCTCTCATCGACTAAATTCAGAATCAGAATAATTTTAACCACTAACTTTGGTTTTGATCATCCTTAAAAATCAGAGCCAGTCAAAAAAGTAGCCTGTGAAAATCCGACTGAGGATGTTTCTAAATTGTCGACGAAAGAATGCAATTTCGGTAGCAAATATACTAAGTGGGCTAACTGACGTCTACTGAGACGACCATTTAGAGACGATGATAAGACCGATTGACAAAATATGTAGAAGCACCAAGCATGGACGTGTGACAGAAGCTGCTATGTTTTACTGGTCTCGTGATTTGACATAAGTGGATTGAATAGTTATTATGGGTAAACCCAAACTCCTTCTTATTCCAGAGCGTTGTATCTTTCGGAACGATTGTGATAGAGAAAGGGGATATCGCATATCAACGCCATACTCCATACTATAAAGGTTGACCGCCAAAAGTACCTCGCTTTTTCCAGTTAAATGTAACCGATAGTGGGAAAGGAAGAAGTACAAGTCTATGGCAGACGTTAACATTTGATAGGAAGACCTGAGTAGCTATTGGCCGTCAACGATTTAATCAGATGCGGTGCTGGCGCCTATGCGTGGAAGCCGAAATCATGGGCAGGAAACCTCAGTGTGTAAGGAAAATGTTGACACTCCGGACTGTAAGACAGCACAAAAGTGGCGTGCATTTAGATTGACCCAATCAAGGCGCGACCGGCTTAAACTCTTCCAAGAATGAGTTACCAATTATGCAGGCCAATTCAAATTTTGCTCATTTCCATCCCAAACCTTCCTGGTTTTTTTAAAAAAAGGCATGAGACCGAGTGGTGCCGAAATTCCGATTACCCTTACAGCAACAAAAAAGTATGGATTAGGATGTCAAAAGAGGTCAGTGCCAAGTGGAGTGCGGGTCTTAAAAAATTCCAAAACGGACAGCATTTCGCATATAAGTTAAAAACCTGTCATCAACATAAGAGCCGAGTTGAAATGGACTTAGTAATTGAATATATGTTGCAATTATTTCATTTTCGGAGTTTGCATATCCAAAAAAGACCGAGAGTTTCTTGAAGCCATGCACTGCGATGAGTCATGCATCAATAGGCACATCGAGTGAGATGTCACGTACAAAAATCTCTGGGAAAGGTGGAGGAGACGAAAGTCAATCGATACAGACTGACCCACAGGGCAGCCGCACACTGGCTGAAGCACCAAATAAATATTGAGTTCTCAGCACTTTTGAAATGTTAATTGTTTTTTGCGCATTCACTGGAGTCCGAATACGACATAGGGAACCGACGCCGAAAATTAATTCGATAAAGTTTTCTACTTTTTGCAAAGAAGTATTTGCCTTAAAAATACAGATATATACAAAATATGAAGGAAATAAATTCTACATAAGTTTAACCAACTTTGTTTTGTAAATTTCCGGCGTCGGTACTCCAGGTGGTCGACAGAGCTGCGGCAAAAATTTCAAAACAACCAAAATGTTAAATGTACCCCAAAAATGGATACTACTTTGTCATTACTGTCGTTAATACGTCGCTGTGGGCTGATATCCCGTTCAAACTGGTCGTTGCCCTATTCATTCATTTTGACATTATTTTATACGGCGTCTAGTTCGATGTACCGATGAATGTACGTGTCATCCGAATGTATGGCTTCTGAAACCTTTCCGCCTCTCGTAGATGGACGGACACCAGTCATGATAGCTTTGTCTGAAGCACATTTGTGTCCAGTTTCAGCGTCGACATGGCGAAGTGGGTCATGTAGTCCAGCCTCTTTGCTCTCAATTGATGCTCACGTAGGCGTGTAGAGGACAAGTATTCATAGTACACCTCACCGCAGGTATCTTATTTAAATGACAAATAACTGGTTATAGTGTACAAGCTCCGTAATTAGTGTAGTCGTCGGTTTGTGCGTTGCTCATATTTGGTGCTTCCTTGAGTGTTTTTCAACGAGTCCGGACAAATTCTTAACGATTGGAAGTGTTCACCCGTTACTGGTTGCAGGGAGCGCTCGACGGCCGTATTACGGAACTCACTCGTATATTCCTGCTTTGTGAATCTCTCCATTATCAAATCAGCAGCCGCACAGCTTCCAAAACTACAGCTACAGTAGGTGGGCTAACCCATAAAACGTCAACTAAAATTCCGAAACGTGTTTCCGTTTCGAGAAGATTGATTAAATAACGTTGTAAAACTGACCAGCCTGCAGTATAATTCTATAATAATTCAGTTAACTCAGGATGTCGGCTTTCAAACTAACTTTTCGTCCGGCTGCATGCAAAACTATACTCTGTGAAAAACGATTACTTATGTAACCTTCATTTTTCCATTGATTTCAATTATATTTGATGAAAAACGTGCACATAAATATTTATTCTTATGCTCATTCGGTAGTTTTCCCGAATACGTTTAAGCCCAACCTGCCGTAACACTTGCATTTAGGGTTTCCAAACTACAAGCCATATATTTCCGCATACGGAAAACATTCATTTCTCAACGTTATTAATAGGAGACCATATTGGAATAGTAAACTATGCATCGGATTTGATTCATACTCTTAACTCTACAAGCCACATTGGTAAATGCAGAGACATGACGTTTTATCAACGGCCATTCCACGGTATTAAAAAACCTCACAATAAAAACCTTTTTTAAAACCGAATTACACCCTTCCTTCATGTATAAAATTGAAAGAGGACGTTATTTTCTACCTAATGAGCAAAAGATTAAATATATTTATGCATGTTTTTTATGGAATATAAGCGAATTTTTATTGGAATCGAAAATCAATGAAAAAATGTATGCTAACTAAGTGGTCATTTTACACAGAATTAAGTTTTTCATGCAGCCGGAAAGAAGTTCGTTTGGAAGCGCACCTTTTGAGGTAACTGAGTTATTATAGAATTATGGTGTACGATGATTAACCCTACTTAATTAATCTTTTAGAAATGAAAGCGCATACCGGAATTTTGACTGACATTTCGTGAGTTAGCACACCTACTGTACTTTCGAATTCACGTTGTACACCTGAGAGATACGGCCGGATAATTTAAAAGAACACACGGCATTGACAGAAGCTCAAGTACATTTTCTGCTGCAACTTACTGTGTTAAAACGGGTGATGACTCCTTCGCACGCGTTCATGGGTGCCAGTTAGCCTCTACCTGACAATATTAGGCGACTCAGGCAGCCACGCACATACTAGACACGCAGACCACGCTCGCGTGGGATAAAATCCGCATTGTTGGCGCCTACACAAGAAAGAAAGACCGTCACTTACGTGAGGCCGGACACGCGGAAGGAGCGCGCGTCAGTAGGCACGTGGAATTAGATGCCGAATGCGGAGGTTGGTATGGAGGAGCGGATCCGAACACAGCCCATCCCGATTGGGTAGTGGAATGTGATGGGCGAGTATTGGCGCAAGTGTTAACCAGTGAAACAACGTTTTGACGGGCCATGGTTAAAGTGGCAACTGAGTTTGTACATTGCCCATGAGTCCGACGTCAACCAGGTGAGCCAGTTTAGAACTACTTTGGGTTGTCTGCTTCTGCCCTTTCGTTCACCAAGAACTCGACCTATTGCCTAGTACTTTTCCTGCTACCTGGACCATTGTTTTTGTTGGTTATAATCCTAGTCATTTGCTGTGTGGATCAGGGGTGTGGAGTGGAACGCCAAGGTGCGGGCTCGACGGTGCCTTCTACCTACGCCCTCCCCCGCTTACGGTCTTCTTGACTCTGTCATGTCGCCGGGTCCAGGTGGGAGAGGAGGAGGGGGTGCAGTAGATGTTGTGCAAGTCTACTATCACTATAAACTAGTTCACGAGCAAGTCACCGTCCCTACTCTCACTTTGCTGTGGAGCATACGGTGGACATCGTCGGAAACAACGGTCGAATTGTCGAGCGATGTTTGTAAGTTGAGTACGTGGAGCACACAGCACCATCATCAGAGGGTTGGGGCCACCTGCAATAATCATTTGGGGCAGCAGTGGACAATTGGAAGGCAGACAGTAGCAAAGAAGATTTCGCCTTTGTGAGTAACGACACGGCAGCACCAACGGAGGCCGTGTGACGAGGTACCACCTAAGCATTGGTCGTGCCCAGAGCACAAAGACAGTCAAGTCAAGTCGTTGCTAGCAGCAGAAGAACGAAGGCAGGCTTATGTACGCGAAAAATCCGAGCGAAGTGTGCTAGTATGGCATGTTTAAGTACCCAATAGACGCCTATGACCATCTGAATGCACGCAGGTACGCATGCTAAAGTTTGTCCAGCTGTAAACCTGGCACGTCGCGAGTGAATGGCCTTGGCGCAGCGGGAGGTCTGAACATAGGAGCCCAGCCTGATGCTGATGATGATGATGATGGTGGTGGTGGTGGTGATGATGATGATGGTGATGATGATGATGATGATGATGATGATGATGATGATGATGATGATGATGATGATGATGATGATGATGATGATGATGATGATGATGATGATGATGATGATGATGATGATGATGATGATGATGATGATGATGATGATGATGATGATGATGATGGCGACGACGACGACGACGACGAACGTAGTCTGCGAGGGCACTTAATAGGACGATTCTGATTGGCTGGATAAAAAATGGAAGAAGACGTATTAAACCCAAAGTAGATGCATCTATTTTAGACGAAAATGATAACTACGGGACATTTTACCGAGCTGTTTTTATATTCGTTGCGGGATAACCGAAGAGACTGACCCCGGAAGATAACTTCCAGCGGCTCATATGCATGTAATTTTAGCATATGCGAGACACTGGATCCAGATGGGGGAGTAGAAGAGAGTGCGATAGATGCAGCGTAATTTACACTCACCATAAACTACATCACGCGCAAGTCGCCCCCCCCCCCTGCTGCTGTGGAGCTCACGGTGGACATCGTCAAATGCGACTGTCAAACTGTCAAATTGTCCACGCGTCTAACGTCAATCTGGAGAGCCAGTCTAGAACCAGTTTAGTTTGCCCTTTCGTTCGCGAAGCACCCAAACTGCTAATCCTACCACTTGATCCGAGGGAGGGGAAATGTCCTCGACGTCTCAGGGCTCCACTCGTTCGTTTTCAAAACTGCTTGTATAAACACACTGAAGGAGGAAGTGCCTAGGAGTGTTGCTTTTTTTCTGGCATGTGTGTTAATGGTTAATAGGCTAGAACTGGTGGCTATAATCGGCGTCGAAAAACCGTGGTCAACCGGGCGCGATCGTTGATAGTAGGACAAGGATAACTACGATTTATGTTGCCCAGGGGTGGGTTGGTGAATAGGGTGTTCGTACGAAGCATGAATGACGTGTTGGTGCCATATCTAAGTACCCTGGAGAGGAATGATTGGTGGAACGCTGTTAATACCATTGACAGAGGAACGCCTGCATTCAAACCACTATCAAAGGTACAGTGCGTGACCGATCTCATGAAATGTTGGCCAAAATTGTGGAATGTGTTTCTCATTAGGAAGGGTTACTTAAGTGGGGTTATTATACTGATTATCATTCAACAGAATCCTTTAACATTTCGGACTCGCCAGGATGTCGGCTTGTGAAAGCACTTCCTCTTGACCTTATGCCGAAACCGCACTCGGTAAAAATGACTACTTAATTCGCATGCATTTCTTGCACTAATTTTCAATGATCTTGTAAATTCAAATATATTTTATAGAGAACATCCACAAAACTATACGTTCTTTTGCTTATTCGCTAGAAACTCACATTGTCTTCATAGTTTATGAAAGTGTACATTGTGGTTATAAATAAGTGGCCCGGTGAGTAGAGGCGTTGACTTCTAAACCAACAGGTCGCGAGTTCGAGGCTCGGGTGTTGCACACTTCGGGCTTGGGTATGACTGGCTGACGACGGCTAATAAGCCAGAAATGGCCATTCCAGTCTCCCTTGTCTTTGTCGGTAATATCATAAGTTTCTATTTATGAGATTTCTAAGACCATGCGATGTCCATGCATGCAAGACCGCACATGTCCTCTTATTAATGCTGAACATGAAATTTCCAACACAAGTCCGAATTGATTGGAAGCTGGCGCATATTACTCCGCTACACAAAGGAGGTGACAGGGCAGCAACGACAAATTACAGGCCTATAAGCTTGACATGCATTCTATGCAAAGTTATGGAGAGCATCATAAAGAGTGAACTGATGCAATTCCTGGAAGTTCACGGCCTGCTATCGAAATGCCAACATGGGTTCCGGAAAGGAAGATCCTGCACGACAAACTTGCTGCAATCTCTCCAGAGCTGAACCCGAGCTCTCAACGACAGGCACGCGGTCCACATAGCCTTCATCGACTTCCAGAAGGCGTTCGACTCTGTGCCGCACCAGAGGCTATTATATAAACTAATAAAAATAGGGATCAATGGCAACTTCCTTAAATAGATCAAAAACTTCCTTTTGGGTCGACACCAGGTTGTGTGCATCGGTCAAGGGAAATCAGATCCTGCTATGGTCGAGAGTGCTGTCCCCAGGGTTCAGTACTGGGACCCATTTTGTTCCTTATCTACGTGGACGATGCCGCATGAGTTTTAGACTACAAAGTAGCAATGCTTGCCAATGAAATGAAGATATGAAGTGTAATTCGGGGACCTGCCGACGAAGACAGATTGTAAATGAACCTGAATCGGTTGGAGGAGTGGTCAAACGGTTGGCTCCTGCGGTTCAACGCTGCCAAATGTAGCATACTTCGCCTTGGCAACACAGCCAGACCCGCCAACGCAAGAAACTACTTTCTGGGCGGTGCATCCCTATAAGAGGTCAAAGCCCACAAGGACCTCGGTGTGCTGACGACGAGTTTCCTAAAGCCATCCAACTATTGTTCGAGAGTGGCAAAAAGCGCAATGTTCGTACTGTACGACATCTAACGTGCGTTTATGGACTTTGACGAAGATGCTTCCTCAAAGACATTTGGAACATTCGTCCGGCCGCAGTTAGAGTTCGGCATACAACTTTGGAGACCGTGGGCGGTTGAAGATCAAAACTGCACCGAAAGAGTCCTGAGGAGAGCCATGAAGATGGTAAGGGTTCAAAGCTCCTTTCGTTATGCAGCCCGCCTAGTAAATCTGAACCTCGTTCCCCTGAATTACAGGCAACGTTGCGGGGATCTATTGCAAGCCTTCTGCATTGTAAAAAGGTTGGATTGCGGTCTGGCATTCGAGGACTTTATGGAATTTGCTACCACGACCAAACTCCGAGGTCACCCGTTGAAACTGTGCACTCAACAGGCAAGGCTGGATGGGCGGAAGTTCTCCTACTCCGTTCGAGTGGTCAAACCATGGAATGCCCTTCCCGCAGATGTTGTGATGTCACCATCTATACAAAGTTTTAAAAAGAATCTGGACATATTTATGTTCCGAAATGACCAAGAGCGATGAGAATTAGAGCTCACTCCCTGTAACTCGTTCTCCTTTTGTCCTACCATTATGGGCGTTTTTGAACTATTTCAGCCAGGAACATTTATCTGTATACCACACATTTTTACGTTGCAAATAGGGTACTCAATGGCTTACGCCTATTTCCCTCAATAAACTGAACTGAACTGAGCATTGCGAAGTTTCATGAACTCTATGTGGTATCTTCTTAAAGGCATCGAGAAATATATGGTTTTCTTTATGCGGAAAGCATGCACCTTGTAGACCGTAATTGCTAAACGCTGATGCAATGGAAGATCAGGCTGAAAATTATTCGGTAATTGGGAAACTTTTTAAAAACCTAAATATACACTTTCTTTTGTTAAAAACTATAAAGACAATGTGATTTTCTACCAAAGGAGTAAAAGTCGGCATTTTTGTGCATTTTTTCCGTATAATATTTTTAAATTTATAAAACCATCGAAAATAAGTATGAAAAATTCATGCTAATTAAGTAGTCAGTTTTTACTAAGTGTGGTTTCTGCGAGAGGTCAAAAGAAGTGCCTTCAAAAGCTGAAATTCTGGCGAGCTCGAAATGTTATAGGGTTATGCTGCATGATAGTCAATTTAACAACCCCAATTAAGTAATCCTTCCTAATTGGAAACGTATTCCAGAATTTTGGCCAACATTTCCTGAGATTGGTCGCGCACTTTACCTGGAGCATCAATTCCTAGCATATACTACAATCGCCATTTACCCGTCCACTCAATTTTCTCACCCGCATAGTCCCCATTACCACCAGTCCCGATTGACAGGCAGCTGGGAGTTTGCGGTGTCAGGAGGGCTACCAAGTATCATCTAACCATACTTCCTAATAGGAAACGCATTCCAGCATTTTGGCCAACATTTCCTGGGATTGGTCACGCACTGTAGTTGAAGAGGGACACCTCCCGTGACTGCAGGCGCACCACTAGACTGTCATTTGATACTCATTTAGCATGTGTTTGCAATCGGGTCGGTCACGCCACCCCAGTCCCAAGTGTAAGCGCAATGTGAGTGCCACAGGTAAAGCAGGCCGAATAAGAATGCTGAAATAGTTAGCGGGAAAGTAACCAAAGCTAAAACGGAGAAGGACAACCTGACGTTTCTTTGCGGCTTGTGTTAGTTTTAGAGTTTGCGTTGGTGTCAGGTTGAGTATTGAGTTTAGGATTACGGTCTGTGTTAAGATTAAGGGTTCCGGCTAGTGTTACGGCTTGGATTCACGTTTAGAGTTGAGATTGGGGTTAGGATTTGGGTCAGGGTTAACGTTAGACTAAGGCTTAGGGCTAGGGTTTGTGGCAGGTTTAGGGTTAAGTTGAGGGTTAGTGGTGCGTCAATAATAACGTTTGCTTTTGAGGTTACGGGTAGGTTTGGCGTATTGCCGCCCCCCGTGTCCCCGCAGCCAGGTCTTCTGCAGGGATTATAGGTTACCTTTAGTCTCGCGGCAGATTTTTCATTTATCAGGTTGTCTTTTTTCAGTTTCAGCCTCAGCTACATTCCTCACAATAGATCTCAGCATCTCCTTCCAGCTCACCTTGCTTTTAATGCCCACATTGGGCTTACAACTGAAAGCAGGACTGCGTATTCGACCTATGCTGAAGGCTGCACTGTGTCGACCTGGGTGCGTTCCGGAATGATCTCCCAAACGGGTTTCCTTCCACTTCCCAGGTCCTGGATGTTTCATTGACCAAAACATACCTTCTTCGCGTTGAAAGTGGTCGAAGACCACGCAAACCGGGGGCAGTCTATAGTTGGAGAATAAATCGTGAGATTCGTCAAATACTAGGTTACGGCTATCTTTTGTAAGCTAATGCACGAATGCAACTTGTCAATCGACGCCAGCGTTCCTCTGACTCTGTGTGCATAGTAACTTGCTTGACTGTTTGTTGTGAATTGCAGATATGCAGTTTTTGCATGTGATTCATCTGAACCGGTTCAGTTTCATCTGCATCTCGCGTTTTACCGGGTGCGGATCGGTTGGGATGTCCTAACGTATTCATTAGACATTCCCCACAAGTGCTGCTTTTGTAGGGCATTTTGCCTGTCGCCTGAATGACCCCGAACTTCATACAATTTGTGTCGGTATGTTTTTGAAGGCTGCGGGACGACCATTCCCTGGGAGTTTTTTCCTGGACTAGTAGAAAGTGTAAACTAGGAAATTTTGCGACCTGCTCTTCGGTTCGGT